AATTTTGTATACTTTTGTATTGTAATTTTCGCATGCAATACAAAAGTATACAAAATTTGCAAACTTTGCAAGGCTATATTTTCCGTATTTTACAACATTTCGCAACCAAACTTTGCAATAATTTACTTATTTTAGTATGCTCTTTCTAGCTGTTCTAGATTTATTTGCATCAAGGCCGGATTTTGAGGGGAGGTGTGGAGAGGTGCGCACCTCCCCTGAGATCGTTTTGCACCTCCCCTGAGAATTTTTCCACCTCTCCTGAAAGATCATGCACCTCCCCTTGGGATAGCGGCGTGAAACCTGAAGGAATAGAGCCAAGTGACAACAGAGAAAAGCGACGACGCACGAAGTGAACTGTATATACATCACAATCAGTTTTATTTTTTTATGCAATATCTGCCTGTTGTCGCAAGTCAGTTGTTTTATCAACTTCTTGACATTATCTCCTCCAATATGATTTTGTAGATTGTGAAGTCTGCACGTTATAAACCTCGTAAATATAAGCGCGCATACCATATATAGTCTTATACCTTCGAGAAAATCAAAAACGAAATAGTCGTAAAAATAATCAGTTGAAAAAAAAATCACTTTTTACTTGGGATTTGCCCTTATGCCACGGCTGCGAAAGTACATGCAAGTACCGAGTTTAATTAGCCTTTCTCACGAAGATCAAAATCAGCCATTTTTTGGGTACTGTCTGCCCTCGTGAAAGATTCAGTTCAAACAACGTGAAAAGCGACTTTCAAAAGTTGTAACTGTAAATTTACCATTATACAAACAACTATAGTACTAAAAAGTCGTATTTCGTGGTGCGGAGACCGGCTCAAATGGGGACTAGCAGTAACACCAAAATCGCGGAAAAATCGGCCGTGAGAACTTAAGGCTAATTGAATCCAATGCTCATTTATTTTAGTCCGGAATGTCAGTGTTTTTTCGGCTGTTCATTCGCGAGCACCGTATACGGCATATTTGTCCGATTTAGAACAAGCCAGGCAGTACCCGTTTAGGGCTAGCTTCATGCGTAGTAGGCGGTATTAGGGCTGAATTGTATGGAGATTTGAATTTTGCTGTTTATGGCCATGTATTTGCATAATATATCGGTGAAAACTACATGTTGCACTCAATAGCAAAGTGTTTGGTACGTAAGTGGATTTTTTATATCTTGACTATATATATTTATAGTTGGCATATATATACTGTCATAAGTACGAGCTGCTAATAATAACGGCCATATATATTTATGATATGCTAATGCTTGTCATATATACAGTATGCATGTCTGTTGGCATGAATCGTGACCGCTCAGCGGCGTACATTCTGAAATTCACATAGTTGACGCGCAGTGAATGCGTCTGCGCACGCGAGACGATGCATATTTGATAAGTAGGAGACATAAATAGGAGGTAAACATTGACAAAGGGGGTCAAAAGGTAATTCTTACTGCGAACTACTCTGCTGGTTTGTCTGACTTCGCCTCATTTCTGTCTTACATATTCAACATGTCGTACGGTTTTCAACCGTTTCAAACACAGAATCGAAGCCGGGTCGCAGTGGTAAAAACGAAATTTTGCTTTCTTCGTTTATTTTGTGCTGTTAAGTAAAGTTTAAGACGTTTAGCGCACTGTTTTATACCAATTAGTGAATTATGATGATATATATGTAGACCGAATGTTAACGTTGTGTTCAAGGGTATTTCTTCTGTTCAGGTGACTGGAGGTAACAAAGGTGTTGGGTATTCTGTCGTCAAAAAACTGTTGAAGAAATTTCGTGGAGTCGTGTATTTGACAGGTTGGTAGAGTTTAAGAAAATGTTAATTGGCCTGTATGTGTAAATTGCCCACGTCAACAAACCGTAATTTCTTGCAATAAATACTCAGCCATCTGACGCAGTATTCTGACTCACGACGCGTGTTTTGCAGCGCATATTGAACTGTTATGTTTGTACAAGGCATTCTCGCTTGAATACATCTAAACACTTCATCTTTTCCCATTGTGTGCGTAAGATCAGACTTTCAATTTAATTGATAAATTTCTGATGACAGATTTATACGCAAAACGTTTTGAACTGTAAATCACATTAAAACTGTATATAAGCCCTGACTGCCTACGATTTGCAAATTGTAATGATATCTAGATAGTTGTATATGATTGTTGTTTCTGTTGGGAAAAGTGTTTGGGGGGAACATGCAGACGCTTGTAATTACATGAAGACTTGCAACAGAGATAGTTGCAGGGTCATTGCAGGGCGTCTTTCACATGAATGAAAGCAAACTGTGTTATTTGCACAGTGTATGTTTCTGCTTAATAAAGTCGAAACATGTCAAACTAACAGATAGCTTGGTTTCGATAACCAGTACAGATATATGTATATAGTTCTTAGAGTTTTAGTATTCCTTTATACAACAATAATGCCCACCCAAATAACGACAGTATAACAAAGCCGTAATAGACAGAGACAATAGATAAAGGCGTAATACGAGGCGTGTCGTTTTCAATGTTTATTCCCTTCACGTAGCATCAATGCAGTCTTTGTACGACTGTATGGTTTGCAAGGAGAACTGTTTTGAAAGTGTTATGATTATTTCACATTACGTCTGTTGTGTGCACGTAACATGAGACGTTGTCACATTTCAACATAGCTGCATTCGTGAAACACGCACAGGAATCTCACGGCTTTACACTGTGTGCAACATACCATGAAGTTTTTACATATCATCTGTCAACTGCAGAATAGAGAGAAACGATAACCTTGTATATCTAATAAGACAGAGCGACATATCATAGTGTTGTGACTAAAAATTGGACAATTTAACCTTAAATAGAGAAATTATGACTGTTTATGTTAAGAATATAGTTAAACCCTTATTTCTCGTGTAAATAATATTGTCATTACAATTTGCCGCCACTTCTCAATTGTTTGCATTTGTAATAATCACACTGTTCATCAAAACAAACCATGTTGCTCAGAGGAGATCGTGCTGTTTCCTAACTTGTCAATGAAACCAGCTCATGTCGCCCCTCTCCAATTGTTTGCAACCACATACATGCTATACTGTTTGATGGTCGCGAAAAAATCAAGTTTTGCTTTATAGCAATGATGTTGGATTAAGCAGATTTTCATCAGTGTGCCTTGCAGAGTTTTTGTTTGATAACAGAGCCAATTATATACTTCTGTATGTGTGTTTTATATATTAACCACTTATAGTGCACTATATTCGCTAACATAATTAAGCATACAAACTTTAACATGTATTAACTGTGTATATATGTGTAGAAACCAATTTTGCGCATACACATGTATCTATTACAGTAGAGGTTGGTTGGTATATCTTGGCGTGCGTGACGGCTACTGCTGAGTATCAATGCACTGGGTCATAAATCACCATTTAGAAATTAAACTTTAGGTCAAATGGTATATAACCCATTGCGTACAACTGCACTGCATCAAAATTGAATATTGTTCTGTTATAATGATAACAAAACAATATTCAATTTTGATGCAGTGCAGTTGTACGCATACAGCAGTGCATGTGTTTAGCAGTTTCCACACGTTTGTTACTCTTGCTCTTTTGTCTGGGTCAGCCGGTCAGGATTAGAGTCAGCAATCATAAACAGCAAGACAAGACACTATAGTTCTTGTAACACGAGTACATTTGATTTAACCAAAATATTTCAATACTGCTGAATACAGCATGCAGAATATTTTGGCTGCAGAGCCTCGTTTTCGTGCACGTGACATTAGTTAAGGCCTGATTCCACGAGCGCTTTTTGTCGGCGAAATATTTCGCCTGTTTCTTTTGAATTGCGACCACTCGAATAAATTATTTCTACTTGATTGCTCACAATTCAAAAGAAACAGGCGAAATATTTCGCATTTCGCTGACAAAAAGCGCTCGTGGAATCAGGGCTTTAGAGAGACAGTTCGAGCAAGACAACGAACTACGAAGACGTACTTGACAATTTTTGCCCGTCTGCACATTATCTTGCACATACTGAACTTGGGGTCACTGCTGACTGCTCAACGTGTCTTGACCCTAATCCTAATTACTCAGCAAAACATGAAGCTCTATCCCATCTTTGCTCTTGTGCCTTCGTTTAGAACAAAGTTCACGACGAATTTTGTCAAAATATTTCTTTCTGAACGAAGGCAGGATATGGTTTTCATTTCTCGATGTTTTGTCTGGGTCAGCCTGAGGTCAGGGTGAGGATCATGTCAGAAACAGCAAGACATGAATCTTTAAATATAAACCTGTCTTCGTTGAACAAACATTGCTGACCCCAACTCAATATGCGCAAGATAATGCGCAGAGGGCCAAACAAGGTCAAGTACGTACTTTCCGGAAGCGTGTATTGTCTGCTTATTGACATGTAATTCAATACACAATTCACATTTTCAAAGAAAAAGTCTATATATGGTCTGGAGATAAATAAATAAATAGAGATGTAAAATTCATACAAATTAAGAAGATATAGATAGTTTATAAGAATTAAAACCTTAACTCCTTTTTCAACCGGATTGTTTTCCTTTGGAACAATCTTCCTGTTCATCCTCGAATGTACTTCATACACAATCGTTTTGCCCACTATATATAGCTATTTTTCCAAACTTAAATCGACGTTTCATGTAAATAGAATGCGTTCTTCTGCATAGAGTGGGATTTTAAAACTATAATTATTACAGCTTGTACCAACATAATGGTAACTGCGAAGAAAGATACACTTTTCAGTCATCATCACGAACAACTTGAGCGACTTATAACATGTCAAAAAAAGAACTATGAAACGGCAAACAAAATAACTATAACTATCTAGACAGAATTTGTCTCTCACGTTTCTCCACAGATTTTACTTCAACACAGATCCTTTTAAGAGTGACTTTTTTCAAATATAGCTCGTCACGAGGAGAAAGGTTTGGCAGCATGTGAACATCTAAAGAAAGAAGGATTACATGCACCAAAGTTTTACCAACTAGATATTACTAACAGGGAACAGATTATGGAGTTTCGACAGCATCTTCAGAAAACATATGGTGGCATTGATATACTGGTTAACTATGCTTCAGTACCTCACAAGGTAGAGATATCCTTCTATAATTCCTGGCTATAATTCCTTCTATAATTACTCGAGAGTAAAAGACCCGGAAATAAGTTGATGCTTTATTTCCTTTCTGTCTCAGTCCATTTCTTCTTTCATTATCTCACGGGCTTAAAAGTAACAAAGCACACAGCAGAGATTTTTTTGTCAGCGAGGAATTCAGGTATTTCAGAGTTTCTACTGTATATCTTTATCTGTTCTTTTCTGTATCCATGTGTTTTTACCTGCTCCCAATCGTTCATTTAATTAGTCCTCCAGTTACAAGACAAGATAAAACAAAACATTTATTAGCAACCATGAATTACAGTAGGTTAAATTAGTTTCATCGTTATATGGGTTCTATCTGCCTGATATAATAATAATTAAAAAGTGCTAAATGAATCAGCTAAACTCCTCGTCGTTCTTTAACACTATTTTCTTTCGGGCATTACGGGACGTCTTGCCACGTCTGCAGCCAATCATATTGCGAGATTCACCAAAACAAACACTTGCCATATTTAAACATAGGCGTGTAGAGCTGATACTTTCCGGGGCCAGTTTAAAGTTTGCCACGAATTTGTTAAAAGTTTGCCCGTATTTCTCTTAAACTTTCAAGACGATTCGTTGTTGAACAGCAACACAGTACTCAAGTCATTTTCCATTTTTTTAAACCTTCAAGACGTCTACAGGAGATGTCGATGACGAAGAAGACGAACACGAAGGTGAGCACGATGGTGAACAACAAGATGGCGGCGAAGGAAATGTTGAGAAGAAACCTGAGAGTGAAAAGAAAAATGGACCCGAAGAAAATACTGTGAAGCAAGAAATACAAGTGAAGATAGAAGTAAAAACAGACGTTGGAGAGAAAAAAGAACTAACTCAAGAGGAAAAGGTCGCAGACGAACGACGACGTTTGGCAGAAAGTTATCGAAAGCACAAAATTGAGAGTAATCCACCAGAAGAATACTGGGTACCGGTAAGGAAATGTTTATAATACAATCGGTTGTATAAACCTTTAAGTACTTTTATGTACTAGTTTTTGTAGGCTAGGGGGGTCCAGGGCCATGCACGCTCTCCCGGAAAAAGTTTGAAATCTAGAGTTCCTGAAATGCGATTTCAAGCATTTTGGGGGTGCGATTTTCGAAAGTATATCATACCACCCCATTTCTTCACGGATTTAGACTTCCCAAGAGAATAGTTTTAATTGTGGCCGAATTTGGGCGGTCGTCATCATGCCTTGCCTACGCCTCTACCGGTAAACAAGTAAAAATAATTCGTTGATATATGTATGTAATCTGACATATTCTTCGACTATCACGTGATATTATCTTTTCCTACCACCCCTTGAGAAATATTTAAAGTTTACTGATATCATTTCGTACTTTATTTCATGCACTAGCGCTGAAATTATATTATTTTTGTTTTGTTTAGAAAGTTGAAGTCGATCCTGTTATTGCGCATGCTGAACTAACCATGAAGACAAATGTCATCGGAACTTTAAACGTTATCCACTGTTTTCTACCATTATTTCGAGCACACGGGAGGTAGGAAAGACGCTAATAATTTTCATTTTTCCAGAAGAAAATATTTTAAAGAAAGCCTGAAACTTTTTTCCAAATTATTCCTGGGTCTCAGGAATTTAGAAGTAGTTAGAGCTATTAATAGTAGTTTGTATACAACTATTTCAGTTAAGGTTGTCCACGAGCAAAGCGGAAAAGTCGAATACGAGCGCGAAAGGTTGCTGGGGATCGCTAAAAATTTAATGAGTTTCAATGGTGTCAAGTAACGAAGTAAATGTACTTCGTTACTGTACTTGAGTACTATTTTTGAGAAGTGATCATGTAACAAAGTAAACTTTTTCTGGAGTCGTTTTAAGAAGTGACGTTTTACTTCGTTATTTTTATTTTGTGGCGAAGTATTTCGTTACTTTCTAACTTTTGTTTAATTTTACGTGATTTATTTCTGATTTATTTTAATTTTGGGATAGGTAATAGGACCTCAACATGCGTCTGGGATCTTTCGTTTGTGGCTTACTTATAAGTATAATTTATTTAATGGATTTCTTATATCTTCAACGGGGTCTGCAATAATGGTCCTAATATTGTATATTAGGTGCATGCACGCATATAATGCGTGTGTTGTTTTGTGTCTTTTGTATGTCAATCCATTGGAGAAGTCCCCCCCCCCCTTACACGCTACAGACAATAGTACTTTTACTTTTTACTTTAAGTAGTTTTTTAAGGATACTTTGTACTTTTTACTTAAGTACGTTTTGCCTCCAGTACTTTTTATTCTTACTCAAGTCGTTTTATTGTTCTACTTTTACTCAAGTACAAATTCAAAGTAATTTAGGCACCACTGAATTGAGTTTTCAGAGCGATTCCCAGCAGCCTTTCGCGCTCGTATTCGCTTTTCCGCTTTGCTTGTGGACAACGCTGAAAACTTGCTGTTGCGCAGATGATGCTAATTTGGCTGTATTTTCCTGTAGCGCATGCAATTTCCCGCAAGTGACTAATTGTAAGACAAGTAAACGTCACGCAAACCTGTAATATATATTAACCTACTTCTAGCAAATAAATTGTTCTTCACTCGGACTCTGCATGTTGTGGGTATGTTAGTCTAACAAGCAGTGTGATCGGCGCGTTACATTTGGTGAACACGCCCGATAAATCTATAAAATCAGAGATGGTCACAGGAATGCGCAACCGCAAATTGAAATCCACGCACGCTACATCAGCGTAAGAAACGATTTAAATAAACTGGCGAGTTTTCTTTATAAGGCACGAAAAACAGTTCATGGGTACGAGGTCGCAGTCGAAAAAGATAAATCACGATTCTTCCAACAATACTTATCCTTTGCCTTTGTAGGATAATAAATATTTCCTCCAGTCTTGGAGTGCTATCTTCAATCTCAAATGAAGAACTAAGAGAAAAATTTGCAAGTACATATCTTTTGGAGAGCGAATTGATGGATATTTTGAAAACGTACATCACGTAAGTCAGTTGGAAAGTTATTGGATCATATTTATAGGAAATAGGCAGAGCACGGAATGAACACATGAGCCTATTGGGCCGTGAAACGTTCAGCGAAATAAAATTTGAGATATACTTTTGGACCTATAACGGCTTTGGTTACTAAAGGAATATGCCAATAAAAATTTAGTTTGTCTCATTTGAAATAACTTTTGAAGTTATGGGCAAAACATTTTTACAGCTTCTTCAATATTTCGACTGAAATCATCATATAAAATCAATAAGTTATCCGCCATCTTGGATTATTGTGGACATGCATGTTACGTCACAAGCAGGGTCACGCATATATTTTACCCTGCAGATATGCAATGGTCATTATGAGCCCAAAATTATACTTCAGTCACTACTTGAAATACCAAAGTGACTGACAACATTTTAAGCATCTACTAAATGTTATTTGGAGACCCGAGAGTGGTTTTATATGCATGCTAACCCTGCTTTTGACGTCACCAAAACCACCGTTAATAAGATCAAAAACTAACCTTTGAGTCAAAATAATTCAAGTAAGCAAGATATGAAAAATTGGTAATTGAAAGCAGTTTTATGTGTGATTTTTAAAGATCAAATGAAACAAACTTCATTTTTATTACCATATCAAGTATATTAACACGTAGTATATATGTATTTGATTGATATTAAATTATTTTTCTACCGTATTGTAGTGACGTCAAGAACGATAAAACCGAAGAAAGGGGATGGCCGAAAAACGGTAAGATGACCGAGTATAATGACATATTTCTATTGCAGGATCGATCATTACATCCTGCAATTACAATTTTAATAAAATATATGGCTGACCGACATAACCACGTTATTAAAGGTGCGATAGTGCCAGACTCGTCCCCAGTCGTTATTTGAATTTAAATTTAGCGTGATATTTTATAGGGACGAATAGCCCACTCTTGTATTCAGCTAGCTAGTCTTCAGCCGCCTGACAATTGCCTGAATATTGTTCAATATAGAAAAGAAATGCTAATAAAGACGAATTATAAAATAATATAACATCTACAAGTATTTATATTGAAAAGCGACTGGGGACGAGTCTGCGGTACTGCAGTGTCCGTTCGCTCGTAGCAGCTTTGTTTACATTTTTTGTATCCAAATAATGAACGTTATAAACGAAGTTGTCACAACTATATATATATTATCCTGCTTTCAGAGTAAAATAAATCATCAAGGTAGCATAATTAGGCTTTGCTACAACATAGAACCTAGTAAAACTGTTACAATCTGGACTGTACCGCGGAAAAACGTCTGCGCATGAGTGGGCACAAAAAACAAATATAGCACATGGACACAAACACCGCGGAAAAACGTCTGCGCATGCACCAAATTATGAAAATATGGCGGGGAATTTGAATATCAATTTCTAAAACAAAAACATGCTTATTAATTGGTCAAAAATTAGTAAAACAAACGAGAAAATATAGCAAATGGGTAGACTAGACATTAATTGAAAGCGTCCTGGCATTTAAAGTATGGAATGAAATATAATTCATGTAAAAAATTGTTGATTTTAACGCACACGACTTCGAAAATTTTTGCAAAATTATTCAAAACAAAAATTCAAACTCAAAAGTTAAGAAAACTCTCGAAAAGTTAAGCTTCTTAACCCACTCAAATTGTAGAATAAATCCTAAAGTTTAATTATTGTGAACACGCAAATTTTTTATATTTGGCAACACAGTTTTTTTTAAAGAAATGTATCTCAAACGAAAATTCGGAAATTGTCATTGCTTAGTTGATAAACAAAATGTTTCAGACGATAAATTTGTCAACAATCACCTTTAGTTCATGTTCTTGTACAATACAATTTCTTGAACCTTCTGGCTGTATTTATTCCTAGTTTTTAGAATGACATGTTTATTTTTGCACTCGAAATGTGGCTGTAAAGACGCACAATGAAGTCACTCCTTTTTACCGCCATTTTGAGCCTTCGGAAACATTCGGAACAGCTTCTCATCAAGTTCGCAATACTATTACAGGTAAGGTTGACGCATGCGCAGACGTTTTTCCGCGGTGTTCTCAAAGAGTGGAGGTTCAATCCAAGCTTCCCTCGAGTGTCAATGCTGTTTTCGAAGAGTTGGAGGGTGAGTATAGGCACATCGTAAGGTACGACACTTCCTCCAACTATTTAAAAACAGCATTGAGTGTGAGTGAGCTTTTAGAATACAGGCGTTAGAGTCAAAACTCCCAGTCATGGTAGTATTATTGGTATAGTAGTTAATTTTACTGGAGAAAATGTTAAATGCATGAGGTCATAAAGGACTGAGCCGACTATGATTCCTAATTGCTTTCGCTTTTTTTCATGCAGACATTTTCCAGGCAAATTTCAAATAATTTTTGCGCTTTGCGGTCCTGGGTACACAAAAAAGTAATAATGGAATTCTCTGCGTAGTTCTGAGTTTTTCCTTGTTATGTTTCACTGTGCTTACACGTTTCTTGCTGTTTCCAGTGTGGGTATTGTCAAAACTAGCAATGAATTTAATGACAAGAATATTGGCGCGAGATCACAAATATGACGAAAGGAAAGACCTTCTCATTACTTCGGTAAGTACAACTGATCTCTTATGGACAACTGAATCACAGCAAGCTGGTATTTGGCAGATTTGCACAGTAATGCAAATTCTATATAAGATGAGGACGGTATACAATTTTCAGTTAATGCAGTTTTCCCAGTTTAACGCGAAACCAAAGAGCGGAATTTTAGGCTTGTTTTCATTTGGTCATGATTGTCGTAATCCCAAGGTTGCTTGCGTATTCGTAATACAGTGTCCATTGAAATCGATAGATTCCACAAACTAATTCACAATGGCGATCGTGAATTGTCCAAGACAGCGACGACTAACCAGGCATTATTCTACTATTATTATATCAGATATAGTGATATTCACTGACCTAATGAGGCTAGAATATTAACTGATCACCGTTTAAATTTTCAGTGTTGCCCAGATCTCTCAGAAGATTTAACTCCACTGACCGCTGACCAAGGTACGTGGATGCTATAGTTGCCAGATCGTAGAGCTTCGTAGACTTTCGCAACGTTCACATTCTATGCTTATATTTTTTAACTGACAAGAACTAATACCCTGCAAGGCTCTATATAATAACACGATCATTACTACCATATTGTAGGCGCAGAAACTCCTCTTTATTTGGCACTTTTGTCAAAAGGCGAGAAGAACTTACATGGCAAGATCTTTAAAGACAAGAAAATAATGGAATGGGAATGAAAATTGTGTTGCGTAACGAGTAACGACTTAGTAAGCTGTCGATTTTTTACCAATAAATGAGTAGATACAGTAATGGATTGGGTTTTTATTGTGAGACAAATGAGCCCAAGACCAATATTTTACTGAAATAGGTAGTGTACAAACAATTAGGAACATTTTCGAGATATAATCATAAAATACTATACAGTAGGCGATATGTTGTTTTCTTTTGTAAGTTGTAACGTATTTTCTTGAAAATATACTGTCGTATAGACTATGTTTACCCAGAGCAGTAGCTGTTTGGTTGTTTTTAAAATTTGAATGCGTTGCTTTATATTGCCAGTACAGTACAGCCAGTAGAACATTTCCTTTTTGGGTTTTTCTACAGGCAAAATTAGGAACAGTTTTTAAAATAGATGTGTTGTTAGAATGCACACTTTTTTGGAATAACATTAGTTCTCTATTAGCATCGTAATCGTATATGACACTCGCATGTTATATATATCTTAAAAATATAATTGATCATTTTTAATTACTAATTATTCATTTATCTTCAGATTGTGATTCATTAAAAAACACATTCATGGTATTCTGAAAGACTGTTTCGGCCAATTCAGAAATTTCCAGCTCCTTGACAGCAGCAAGAACTTCTAAAACTTGACTACAAAAATAAAAAAAAGAAAAGATGCATTATTCATAAGAAAATTTTAATTCTTGCGAAAGGTCAAACCTAATAAATTATAGATGTAAATTCAAGAGATGAAAAATACAATATTAATCTTCCACTTCAAGCCAAACATTGTGCACTTTGGGGGCGTTAGAAAAGTGACCGATGGGAGGGGGGATAAAAAAATTCGCGCAACGGGAAACAATAGGAAAACAATCGTGCATGGAGGACAGGGAAGAAAAATACCTTTAAAATTCCGCAAAAAAATTCCAGCACAAGAAGACGTACGGCCGAAAAAGAATTGATAATTCCCCCATCCTCTAACATTTTTCTGGTTTTCATCTTAATTAACATCTTATCACACTCAGGTTGGTTCTTTTTGACAGAAATAAAATAAAAACCTCCGCCCAGAATGATGTCCGGCATTCAAACGAATACATTCCAGAATGCAATGTATTGAGTCGCAAGGGCTGGTTTGGTCCAAGACCTGCCTCGTACCCAGGCGCGTCAGTATCATTTCGCTGTATAATCGGGATACATGAAGAATTAAGACAGGCGGGCGACGCGCGAAGGTTGTTGGGAAGAGTCTTCGCGCTTTTCTCCCCATTACAATACTTTATCACTGTATCATACGCGCGTCGTCGTTGTTTTTTACAAAGAGATGCCTGGTTACGAGGCAGGTCCACGTAAGACAGATATACTGTAATGGCGCTGTTCTTGACTCAGAGATCACCCACAGCTTTGCATTTCAGCTTCGAAAATGAAATTCCAATCAACCAACGAGCGATTCCGGAGTTTACATACACTCTATTAGAAAGTTTGCTTTAAAGTTTGGAGGTACAGTATAAGCTAATCAGCTTTCGAACAAGTATTCAGGAGTAGAAACCATCTTGTGACAGGTATTTTAATGAAATATTTGAAACTACATGAGAATAAAACACGTACATTAGATGTGTTGGTTCATTCCTGCTCTTCACACACCATCCTTCTTGCCATTTTTCTTTTTTCTTAGTATCAAACTTTGTTTTAATGTACTGAAACCCAGCATGAGTTGGTCTAATGTCGCACCACGGTGCATCTATACAACAATGGTGTCTTCAGTAACGGCACAATGAGGTTCATATTTACAATATAGACACATATACTGCCATACCCGTCTCAATCATTAACTTTTCTGCTGGGATTGATTTTACAACTTCCAGATTTTCTTCCGTTTTAAACGAACTATATACAAAATGAAAACATTGGTAATGCGCGTCTGCACATGGGTAAGTTAATGAAGTTACGGTAAAAAAGTAGTAGGTATACCGAAGTGTCCAGGCATGTATCTACCGCGGAGACCAAGCTTGAATTCTAGTCTTAATTTACTCTTTTACTTATAGTAACTTAGCTTAACAATTCTTTATGATCATAACCTACTGTTTCACACCAACAAGCAAAATATTGCCGGTTTTTTTTTAAAGGAATCTTTGCTGGGAAGATTGAGTGTTTACCTAATCACCTGGGGCAGCATAAAACCTGGGAAATCCAGGAGAAGTTACTGGAAGCTTCACGATTTTAGCCTTTACAATTTTACATGCCTTATAAACTGCTTTGATTTTGTGTTGCGAAACGAATTGCAGGTGGTATGTTTGTTTTTTCTTACTTTGTTGGGTTCCAACAGGAAAAAGTATTTCCAAGTTATAATTTTAACACAAACTACTTCATTTTTACTACACTAAAACTTCTGGTGAGATGATTGAGTTTCAAAACTCAATTCAAGATGGAGTTTTTTGGGCCGTTCAACGGGCCTACAAACGCCCTGAAAATACCCCTGATACTGGTTAATAGCCTTCACGCCAAATGAATCCTATACCTACCATCCCGTTACACCGATAAAAAGTCCTTGATCAAGGATTGAGTGTGCTTCTTCTTTACTGCCAGTAAAACAGTGAGCCTATGCAAAGATCATATATTGCATATCAATGGTCTTGTAAGTGACGTCACAACACGTATTTGATGATATTTGGCCATTTTGGGTGGCAAATTAAAAATAGTCAATGAAAAGCCAACAGGCGTCAAAGCAAGACTATGGCACTGAATGCGGCTGTTGCTTTTGTTTGAGCATTTCGTGGAGTTATAATGGTCCACAGTTGTGTGGTAGTCGGTTGAATAAAAGATTTCTGCCACTCAAAATGGCGGATTATTATGATACGTCATGCTGCAAGACCTGAATACAGCCATGTAAAGTACATATATAGAGGGCACTCGGAGACTGCATATACCTTGGCCAACAAATTAAGTTATGTATCGTACATAAATTATACAATGGGCTAATTACGCATTCAGTTTTTTTCTGCCCAGCAAAACAAGACAAACTTTGGCTAATTTCTCATCCAATTTTCATCCAAATTTAACCAACATTTAATCAAGTTGTCCTTGGGCAATGTCCATTAATCCCACAAATTTTCGTATTAATACGTATGATATTTTTAAGTCATCGTGCTGATAGACGCACACACATACACATAAAAACGCGGATGAAAACATAACCTCCTGGCGGATTTAAGTATGCAGTCACTTTTAAACCGTCATTACTGTATGTATGCAAAAACTTACAACACCAGCGTGAATCCTATCTCGATTTCGTTTAATAATATCTAAAAACAGGAGTGACAAATATTAACAACTGCCAACCTCGTACCCAGGGTTTTATCTCCGCTTCCGGGAGAGTAACGAGAGCGGAGATAAAATCCACCAATGACCAACGAATGCATATTTATTTAGTTTGCATCAGTTTCAAACTTGCAAACAACATCACACTCACAGAGGGTTGTGTACCAGGCTCATGCCTGTAGAAAGTAGGAAGTTATGGAGCGACGCTACCTCCAAAGTCTAAAGGGCTAACTCCAAACCAAAATATACACTTGAGTAATTTGTGTAATTCAAGACTGAGTTGAAATATGAATTCTGGAGTTACTGGCTAACTCCAAAAATCATTTGGAGCTAAGTATACAACTGCAAAAATAATTTAGGAGCTAGGCATCTAAGCCTGGAGTTACTGGCTAACTCCAATAATCATTTAGAGCTACGTATAACTCCAAAAATCATGAAAAAACAAGGTATTTAAGCCTTGAGTTACGCCTAACTCCAAAAAGTATGTGTATAGCGAGGCGAGTCAGCCTATAGCCGCTAGAAACATACATGTAAGGTTGAAGTTACTTGCTGTGTTGCTAACTCCAAAAATAATTTGGAGCTTGTTATCTAAGCCAGGAGTTACTGACTAACTGGAATAACTGCAAGAACTCTCAGAATGCACTTCTATATTCCGCTGTATTAAATAAGACTGAAATATCCAGAATATGCGCATAAACAGGACATTGACACACTTGGCATTTTGTTCTCGTTCAGAGGCTAAATTTTGATCTGCAGTTGACTGTTGAGGCAAACCCATTCTCGTACACCGCGTCCTTGTCATGCTCTGTTGATCGTGTGTAAGGCGGGCTCTGGGTACGAGAATGTGGCATAGCCTAGCTCCATTTAAAGATTGGCTACCTCCACAAAAATAAAATCTACAGGTATGGAGCGGCGTCTAAATCAATTAAGTTCGGCAGGTTTTGATTAAGTTCGACACGACTCGAAGATGCGACAGGACAAGTCGTATATGCGACACAGGTTCGACATTGATTTAGACGCCGTGCTTTTCATGCGCCGAACCTAATGCATAATT